TATATGTGTGTGTGTGTGTGATTAAAAAGAAAAATGACAGCCTCCAATGTACACACAATCATAGTACCATCTGATTTACATCATTGACCATCTCACCAAGGGAATATCACCTGCCATAAACACCGATGCTAAGTCTGTAGTCATATCATCACTGATAGCAATTTCACACACTCACCAGCACTCACGTAGTATTCAAACCACGGATCCTGAATTCTAACAGTTCAAATCTTTTTTTTTTTCCTGCTACAAATGCAAAAAAAAAAAAAAAGAAATTATGTCGAAGAAACTGGAACAGAATTCCGTCTTCGCTTCAATAACCATAAAAAAAAACATCAGAGGCATGAACAACAATTTCCCTGTCACTGTACACTTCAACAAACCATTATTTACATTATTCGGACTATTGTCGCCATATTTATTACGACGTTTCGGCCGTTGTACTACGCTCCGGTCTTCTTCAGGTGGTTGGAATGTTGAACTGAACCCTTTATTTCGCTCACGGGGGTAGACTGTTCTAGTTCCACGTGCCATGTTTAATGGATGTCAGTTATCAGTTATCTCTCTGTTAATTTCCCTCTCCAAGTTCTCCACTGTCTTAACCGGGTATTGAACTCACACGCTTTGTGTCCTGTCACTGGATCTAACCAACGCCTTTATCCACTATGCCATCTGTCCTTGAGGACAATAGTCCGAATAATGTAAATAATGTACATAATACCTCATGTCAGAAATATAGACAGTTATTCAACAAACCATTTCATAGTGTCGATGGCATCACATGCTTGCTTTCAGCATTTTCATTCAACAGCCGAGAAGAAATATGCAGATTAGAGTTGAAATTTATTTTCAAAATGAATTCAAACATTGAGGAATTAAACAGGGATTTGGTCTTTATTCAGAGAGTATAATTTCCACAGGCAGATCTCTAACTAACAACATTTCTCGGAAGAGTAAAGTCCCACTTCTTTGTTTATTCCTCTTATAGTTAAAAGATTCTGGCCTTAAAATCTTTCTCTTCCTGCTTTAACTTAGTCAAAAAGTTAATATATAGTAAATATCAATGTTATTGACAATATTGGTGAAATTTTCTTGGCTTTTTATTCTTCAAATTTTGTTAACCGGGCTATTAAAATATATATATATATATATATATATATATATATATATATATATATATATATATATATCAGTTTACAAATTTCCAGAGACCATTGAGAGTAGAAGACAAACCCCTTTCACCTATCTTGGTAGCAAAGTCAATTACAGTGAAACTTTAGATGATGAAATCATGCATCGGATTGCTAAGGCTACCAGTGCTTTCGGTAAACTTCGCTATCGCTTGTGGGATGAGCGGGGTATTCGACTAGATACGAAAATTCGGGTTTACAGAGCTGTTGTACTTGCCATCCTTTTGTATGGCTCAGAGTCATGGACTCCATACAGGTACCATATACGCCAACTAGATGTTTTCCATAAAAGCTGTCTGCGTGCAATCTGTGGAGTTAAGCTTTAAGATAGGATATCTAACGTAGACCTGTTTAATAGGTGTAATATTGGAGGAATCGAGACTTTTATCATACAGTCTCAGTTACGGTGGAATGGTCATGTCTTAAGAATGTCTGATGACAGTATACCCAAGATCTTAATGTACAGCCAGTTAGATCAGAGCTACAGGAATGTAGGACGCTCATGGCTAAGATACAAATCAAGCTGAAAAGCAGTCAATATACCACATAACATCCTTGAGCGCTTAGCCTTGGAGCGGGTAGAATGGAGATCAACGTGTTTTAATGGACACAGCAATTTTCAATCTGCTTGTCTGAATCATCTTCAAGAAGCGAGAGCAAGATCTAAAAGGTCAACCAATCTAACAGTGATCTCATCTCACAATCCTCACACTTGCTCCATATGTATCTCCTCCTTTGTAAATCACTAACGGGTCTTAAATGCCACTTAAGATTAGCGCATAAACTTTCATAACTGAATCAATAAGCTGTCAGATCCTCATACGTCGAAACCGACGGGAGAGTCCATTATATATATATATGGGAGTAGAGTGTGGATGATTATGTCAGGTGTGTTTTACCGTTAGGTAATCTGTTTCCCCCTTAGGGTTTTCTGGTAAAAAGGCTGGCTAGACACCCAGCAAGATTAAAAAGAGGCTCTTTTCAAAGGGCACATCAAACCTCTTTTTAGGGTCAACTGTCATCTAGCATAATTGGGCAGACCAAGCTACAAAGCAATGCATTTAAGAACATGTCGACCGTACACCAATCTGTAGACTCTTTACAGTAGCCCTTAAAGACTATTTATTCTTCAAAATGGCTAATAGATTAGCCGAAACGTTAGGAAGGAACACAGGTTTGGACAATTTTTGCACTTACTAACTCCCTCCAAATATGTTTCGTTAGTATGTGAGAAAATACAATAAAAAAACTTAACAGAAGTACCGTGACAATTTGTTTACATGTTAAGGTGTATTAAAGAGGAACTGCTGCCCAAACACACACACACACACACACACATACATACATACATATATATATATATATATATATATATATATATATATATATATGTAGCGTATTTTCATTCAAACAGTTAAATAATTTAGACATACCGTGTCTGTTTATTTTTGTTTTAATTCTTTCGAGTCTACAAATCAATTTCTTGGTAGCTGCAGAAAATTGATTAAGACAAATACCAAAATTTTCTTTCTAATAATTTTTATTTTCCAAAGTATTTTCAGACACATTTGAGACCATCTTCAGGATTTTAAATTGGCTGTGAATGTTTATACGTATTATTATACGAATAATTCCAAATATTTTTAATTGTTCTTTTTACTGCGTTATGCAGCGTTCTAGGTCCCAAATTCAAAATTTATGTGTTTTTTTTCCCTCTTCCACAGTGTAAAGGAGGTAACTTTTTATTTATTTATCATATATATATATATATATATATATATATATATATATATATATATATATATATATATATATAATATATATATATATAAGATGTGCTGTATTTATGGGAAAAAGTGCAGTCTGTTTCATGCTAGATGCAATCGTCAGGCCTGACGATTGCATTTAGCATGAAAGAGACTGTCGCCTCTAAGTGTTGACTTATATATATATATATATATAATAATTAAGTAATTCATCGAGTCTAGAACAAGCCTCGAAGAATGCAGAAAGCCCTAGACAGTCATTTCGTCCTATATTTGAAACTCATCAGCAGTGGGCATCCGCTACCGAGAATTGAAACCCGAAAAGTTACGATAGGAGACAAACGCCATGCCAACTGTACCAAAGGTTCTCGGTGTCAAAGAGGTAACGAATTAGACACGAATGCTCTGGAGTGAGCGGCTTGGGGATAGTAGTCATAGCTCGAGGGAGGCACAGTTCTATTGGTAAAAGAGAAACTCGGAGAGGTTCCACCACGGAATTTGTGATCGAGCGGTGCTATATCGAGTCCTATATATTAACTTCTGTAATAGTTCTAGTAGTTTCCTTCATATATGTCAACAAATGCAAATGTTATGTTGTTAAGATTGTGGCCGTCAATAATGAATCCTGGTAGGAATTTCTAATTCTTTCAGAATCGTATAACTGTATAGATTGAATAAATCCAATGGAAAGCGACGACCTTCTCTTACCCCTCTTTCTATTTTTGTGTCTTTACTGAATTCATTTTCTTTCCGTATGCATGCAATTTGCTGTTCTGGATTATTCTAATATCCTTCCCAAATATGCCGAGGTTACCAACAATTGCAGTAGTTCTTTGTGACGTACTTTCTAATGGAGAAAACATGGGTTTACACCCTTTCGTATTTGTATTGCTATTTATTCCTAATTCTTTATACACCATCTTGCGTACGTTTCTAATAAAACTGAATGAGTAACAATTGAAATTAATGAATGGATTTAACAGGGCTTTCATTTTCGACGATTGAATTCAATGGTGACGAATGTCTTTTCCAGCGTCTTGTTTATTCCCCAGTAGAGAAATATTACTGAATGTACAGAACCTTAGAACGTTAGACATTTTGTCTTTTTTCATCACAGCCGGTAGCAATTCTTTTTTTATTCGCATTCTATATGCTTCGAATATATTCGCTGTAAACATACCTTTTGTAAATCTATGTCATTTGTATGGTTTCTGAGATGTTCCATGCTGTGAGTCGATCCTAAGTTAAAAAAAAAATATATTTTTTATGGTAAAGGAAATTCTAAAAGTTAAACAAAAGAACGCATATACGAACTGTTTTCCCTTTCCGCTCTCGGTACAAAATAACGTTTTTTTGCGAGATTTTGTGCATTCAATGAGATTTACGGGGTCATGCATAATATTTATTTTATTTTCATGTACAAATATAAAAAAAAAAGTTGCAAATAAATGAGTTTTGATTTTGTGCATTCTTTGCTCGTTGTTTACATTCGATTGATTTGCAAGTATGTGCCGGTGCGCTTAATGCACCTGTGCAGCGTTGTTCACCGAGAAAATAAATTATTTATTAAGCAAAGTTTATACCATGATACAATGAATGCAGGTATATGCAGGTATATACGATTGGCCTTTTTGAAGGTTAAAAAATGTAAAAGCTTTCAAATTCTTTTGCCAAGAACGGGAATTGTGGGAGAGTTGCTTACTGAAACGCTTCAACAATACCTTCTCTGCCAATCATTGAACAATCATTGAATGAGAAATGTCATATATATATATATATATATATATATATATATATATATATATATATATATATATATATATATATATATATATATATATATATATATATATATATATATATATATATATGTATATATATATATATATATATATATATATATATATATATATATATATATATATATATAACAAGATAGCAGAATATGTTGATAATATATATGATTATGAAACATACTTATATATTTTCTATTGTTCTTTTCAAATAATTCGTTACCTGTTGTTAGCACAATAAAAGAATGTGCCAAATGTTTTGGTCTATTGACATCCTGTTCATTATCCATATGATTATCTATCCAATCTATCTATTATCTATTAAGTCCGTACATTTTTTCTATTGTTCTTTCTTTCTTTCAAATGTACATCGTTATCTATTCATGTATCTATCTATCTATCTATCTAAATCTATCATGTCTGCCATTATCTATTCATCTATTATCCATCCATGGTCATCTACATCATTCATCACTGTTCATTATCTATCTATCTATCTATCTATCTATCTATCTATCTATCACTATCTATCTATCTATTCATCTATCATTCATCTATTATCATTTCATCTATCTATCTATCACTGTTCATTATCTATTCATTCATCTATCTATCTATTATCTATCTATCTATCACTGTCGGTTCATTATCTATCATTCATTCATCTATCTATCTATCTATCTATCACTGTTCATTATCTATCTATCTATCTATCTATCTATCTATCACTGTTCATTATCTATCATTATCTATCTATCTATATCTATCTATCACTGTCGGTTCATTATCTCATCTATCTATCTATCTATCTATATATCTATCTATCTATCACAGTCTGTACATTTCATTCTATCTATCTATCTATCTATCTATCTATCTATCTATCTATCTATCTATTCATTATCTAATGGACATCAATCAACAACAACTGCAGGACTGTTGGAATATTCATTATCTTTCAGATCAAATTTTCCATTTTTTGAACCTCACGAATCATGTACGAAAAATACTCTTAGCTATGGCACCATCTCCATAAAGTGCGCATACTTTTTTTGCTGCTTATACCGCTTTCTTTCCTCTCCCGAAATAAAACAAAATCAAAGGATGAAAATGCTTCTAATTTTCCTATATTTGCCACTTATAATATAACAACATTAAATATGCACAACCCACGCAAGAATGATATAGGGACACGAAATGCCACCTTCCCTAATATGTATATACGTCATAATCTGTCTATATGGCATAAATTACAGACATGTATTATCAGAAATCACGTGTTCAAATGTCACGTATTGAAAAGCACATTTGTTCCAACCTTGTATATTTACTGTTTCCTTTTAAACCTTACACACACACACACACACAGACACACACACACACACACACACACACACACACACACACACACATATATATATATATATATATATATATATATATATATATAATTTGTATTTGGGAAGCAATACTTCTTTTATACATGTTTCATTAAAATGACTGACAAGTTACTGCGGTTAATTTTTAATTTCATTTTTCATGTGTTTATAAAAAACACATGAAAAATGAAATTTTCGTTTTTTCTGAACACAAATTATCTAGAAATTGTTCGAAAGTCCTTCATCTTCCTCAACTTCGCATCCCCCACACTGCACCTGCCCCTCCTACCACTAGAACATCGTTCTGCTATCAACGAGCAGACTGGGACTCGTTCCGGGATTTCATCCGCGACGTCCCCTGAGACGTTGTCATCTCGCTCCCTGTTCACGAATGTGCTTCCGAGGTCTCCTCCTGGGTTAAAGCTGGAATCGAGACTTTCATTCCCTCAAGGGAATATATGGTCAAATCGAGCTCCTCCTCCTGGTTCTCCGCTACTTGCTCAGCTGCCATTGTCCATAGGAATCACTTCTTCCACCTTTATCGTAGCGACATGTCTGATTGCAATAGACGTCTCTTTGTCTCTGCCCGTAATGAGTGTAAGCGTGTCCTCAATGAAGCAAAATCTCTATATGCTGCTGGAAGGAAAGAACGTATTGCATCTCGCAAATTCGGCTCCAAGGATTATTAACAATAGCAAACCTTCAATACCTCCTTTGTTCAACCAGTTTGAGGTTCTGATCTCTTCTGCCGACAAGGCTGAATGCTTTGCTCGGAAATTCTCATTCAATTCAATGCTCGACTCTTCCGGTGTACACACACCCGATTTCCCCCTTCGAACTGAGGCTCAATTAAGCGACTTGCACATAACCCCTTCATCGGTTCTGGGCATCATTCCTAAATTAGCCCCCTCTCCCCAGAAGGCTAGTGCTGGAGATGGGATACCAGCCATTGTCCTGAAGAAATGTGCGCCTGAATTGGCCCCTGCCCTCTCCAAATTATATTGCCTCAATGAATCTTGTTTTCCAGCCTGTCTTGAAGAACTCTGGAGACCCTTCTGACCATTCTAATTGCCGTTCTATCAGTCTCCTACCACTCTGCTCTCCGACAAGCAATATGGTTTCCGCTTTGCCCGTTCTACAGCTGATGTGCTTACGGCCATCCCTGAAAGCTCTTCATAATAACGTAGAAGCTCGTGCCGTGGCTCTTGATATCTCCAAAGCGTTTGATAGGGTTTGGTATGCCGGCCTTCTTCGCAAGCTTCAGGTTTATGGAGTTATATGTCGATTGTTCGACAATACAATCATTCCAGTCGAATCGTACATTGAAGGTCGTTCTCAACGGATTCTCCTCCAGCTCCTATCCCACGAACGCAGG